CTTGATAACAGAGGTTGTTTGTGAGTGACAGGATTGAGTGTTTTCATTTTCTTTCATATATATATCTGTATTTTAAAAATTTTCTGTAATTATCTATTAGTTGTTTTAACAATTAAGAAAGTTGATCATTTATTAGGCTAATTAGAAAGTCTTGACAAATTTCTAAGATTAGCAAGACATGTGTTATAGTCTATGAACCAGTGCCATAAAATTAAAACTACAAAGTTGTAGCCAAAAACTTCTATCGACTTTGACATTTAAATATATCCTTCTGAATAACTGCTAGCATAGAAAAAATTTCAAATGAAAAATATTCATTTACAATTGAGTTCTATATATACAGTCCTGGATTATGCAGGCAATGGGTATAATCTTACATGCATTAATCAGATAGTATGATTGAAGATAAATGAAACTTGAATGCACAAATGCAAATGTAACTACACACAAAGGAAGTAGAAGTTATTATAAAGGGTAAGGAGATACTGATCAAATGGAAGATAGAATACAGTAAAATATATCAGTAAAACCAAAAGATGTATCTTTAAAACACTAAAAAAAAATACAAAAATGACAAACATTTGTCATATTATCATTAAGAGAAACAGAAATATACAAACAACATTAGGAATGAGATGGAGATATAACTGGAGGCAATTTAAAAATTTGTAAGAAAAATTTATATAAAGCAATACCAATAAGATTATAATATCTGGATGGAATGGACTTTACAATTTTTCTTTATTTCCCCTTTTTCTTTGGAATGGACTGTTTCTGAAGAAACATTTTTGTGATCATTGACACAAATAGATAGCAAACCTTAACAGATCAGTAAACAATGAAAAAATGAAAAGATAATCAGTAACTAAGCCCATTCAGTTTTATGGGTGTGTTCTACCAAACACTTCAGGAATAGAGAAGTCTCATATCAGGAATATCTGGCTGTTCCAGAACATATGAAAAATTGAAAGCTTCTCAATACATTCTATGGTACCAGCATAAACCTGATCCTAAACCTAGAAAAGGAGAACCCAAGGAAACTGTGGGCCATTGCCAATATGTATTGCTCTTTAAATAAAGAAACATGATTTCAAATGAGTTACTGTATCTATATGTATTTTATGTTATGTTTGTGTGTATTGCCAAAGGAGCAAATCCACTTTTTGTTTCTTGGTTATTGCAATTCTCCAAAGCCTTGGCCAGCTGGGCTTCCAGTCTTCTCTGCCTTGGTAAATAGGAAGATAACTTTATATCATCGCCCAGCTGGGACATAGATTCCTAGATTCTAAGCACAAGACAAATTCATTCAACTGTTGGAATTATAGATGAAAAAAAAATTGTTTTCTTAATTCATAATGATAAACAACCTACCTTAGGAAAAAAGAAAGATATTAAACAATCTAACTTTACACTTCAAGGAACTAGGAAAAGAAGAACAAACTAAGCCCAAAATTAGTAGAAGGAGAAAATAACAAAGATCAGAGCAAAAATGAATAAAATATAGAGCAAAAAGACAATAGAAAAGATCTTTATATATTATAGAAAATTTAGAACATGCAAATAAACAAAAGGAAGAAAATGAAAACCACTTGGGCTCCCACCACTGTTAACATTTTGATATGTGTTGTTCCAGTCTTCTCTGCAAGTTGGTGTGTATATATGTGTCTTACAAAAGTCTGAGTAAACCATAAAAATATTTTGTAGTTTGTTTCCCACCCCACCACTACTATTGGGTTGTCAGAAAAGTCATGACGCATTTTTGCAATGAAAAACATAGAAAAAATATGTCATGACTTTTCCGACAACCCAATAGCATTTCCTGAACATCTTTCCATCTCATTACATATTCATGGAATGGTCAGATTATTTCACTATCGTCTGTCTGTCTTTATCATCTATGTACACTGAATTCTGATTGTTAGAACTGTTGATCTACCTTTTTTAATAGAACAGGTTATTCATGCAAAAATCTGAGATACAAAATGATTTTTGTGTATTATCAAGTAAAACAAAATTAAACTCTGAGCCACATAAACATTTGAAACTAAGTTCCTTAGTTAGAGACAAATGTATAATTCTTTGTAGGGACTTGTTAGGGGAAGGAGAAGCTTTTATGGGAAATATTTTTTTATACTTTATGTGAGGACTCTTTTGGGACAAATGATAGATACCCCGACTAGAATTGAATGTAGTGAAAAGGAAAATCTATGGGTGAATGTATCAGTTATCTGTTGCCGTAGTAGCAAAACAACCAACCACAAAATATCAGTGACATACTAAGAAGTATTTATTTAGTTCATGAGTATATTGGGTTCAGTGGCACTCAGCTGGACTTGCTCATGTGTCTGTGGTTAGCTGCTGGTTGTTTAGGCACCTCTGCTTGCTGATCTTGGCTGGGCTTGCTCAAATGTCTTGGGGCTATTTGGCTATTGGATTTGACACATTGACTCTATTTTGTTTCTTATCTTCCAGCAGGCTATACTGGGCATGTTCTAATTGCTATGGCAGAGGAAAATGAGCAAGACAGTAAATACACAAGTGCTGTTTCAGGCCTTCACTTGCTTCACATTTATCTCCTTATTGGCCAAAGCAAGTCATATGATGGAAACCAGAGTCAGATTGTGAGGGCTCTGCTGAGGAGGCAGGTATAGGAAGGGGTGAAGAATTGGGGCCATTAATGCAGTTATGGCATATGTAACCGAAATGGCCTAGGGGGAGATGTAGCTTCAATGACTGCTGGGTCCAGGGTACCAGGTGATGTCACCTGGCTTGATTTCACACTATTAAAAGTTTGGCTCTGCTCTCCTTTTCATTAGCTTTACTCTCAAGGAAGTCCTTTTCACCTGGTAGTACTCAGAAACTCCATCTTGAAAACAAGCAATTCCAGCTGAAAAAGAGCTTATCTTTCACAGTTGTTTCAGCTAAAGCTTGGAGTCTTTTTGGACCAGTGTGGGTCACATGTCCATCCCTAAACAGCTGCCATGTCTAGGGGATGGAAAACGATGATTGGCCTGGGTCATATTCTCACCCCTTACACCATCCGGGATGGAGTAGAGGGAATAAGCCTTATCTAAACCTAATGAACTGTGAGTACAGGGTTGGGGAAAATTTCTCTAAGGAAAATAGAAATAGTGTTACCAGAAAGTGTGTGTGGGTGTGTGTGTGTGTGTGTGTGTGTGTGAGAGAGAGAGGGGGGGGATGGGAGGGAGAATGAATGATAGGCAGGTAAAAATAAAAGTTGCCCTGTATAATGGTATTAATGTACTATCTCATTGACACTGCCAACAAAAACTATTGACTATTCTGTGCTAAGCATTGAACTAGGTGTTTTATAAACATCATCTTTGTTTTTTTAGACTACTATGAGTTAGGTGGTTTTACCCACATTTTATTAATTGGAGAAAGGAAGCTCATAACAGTTAAATAATTTGCCTATGGTCACTCAGCTAGTTGGTTGTTAGAGTGGAGATTTGAACCTCGGTTTGGCATTCTCCAGAATCTGTGCTACTAGTGTGTTAAAACTGAAGAAAAAGTCAGTATACCAAAGACACCCTAGAGCAGTGGTTCTCAACCTGTGGGTCGCGACCCCTTTGGGGGTCAAATGACCCTTTCACAGGGGTCACCTAAGACCATCGGAAAACAAAAAGATATTTACATTACAATTCATAACAGTAGCAAAATTACAGTTATAGAGTAGCAATGAAAATAATTTTGTGGTTGGGGGTCACCACAACATGAGGAACTGTATTAAGGGGTCGCAGCATTAGGAAGGTTGAGAACCGCTGCCCTAGAGGAAGAGAGGAGGCCATGATACACACCATTAAGGCCATTTGGATCCTAGCATTGAAGGGATAATCTCAGCGCTGTAGCCCTGGCTATATAAGAGCTGTACCAATGTGCTTGAGTAACCATGACAGGGAGCTTCTACTATTTTTCTCTAGGGCAGCGGTTCTCAACCTTTCACAGGGGTTGCCTAAGACCATCGGAAAACACATATTTTTGATGGTCTTAGGAACCGAGACACTGCTTCTCTATCCGTCTCCAGGCCCACATGCAGATACGCCCACATACGAGTACCCGGAGACCCCTGTGAAAGGGTCATTTGACCCCCAAAGGGGTCGCGACCCATGGGTTGAGAACCGCTGAACTAGGGGTAATGGACCAGGAACTCTAACATGATGCATCGTTCTTCTGTGCCACTTCTCCCAGGTGTGGAGGGGTTAATATGAATATTTAAATCATCCAAAATGGAAAAGAAGTACCAAAATGAGCCTGAAAAATGTACATAAAAGGGGAAAGAGACAGGACTGTCATATTCTCCATGATGGCATTTAGGATCTGGCTATACTCGTCGCATTGGTTGAGCCACCTCATTTTTTTTTAGCTCTGAGATGGCCAATAGGTTCTAACTCATGTGTCCATGCCAGTTGATTGGTGGTAAACCATCTAGAGTGTTGCACTGAGAAGAGTTCTGAATCTAGTGGAAAAGAGGACCACGATGGATTAGTGATACTGTGATGCGTAGAAGAGGGGAGGTAACAACATGATTCACTGTTATTTGACATTCTAGGAAGCAACAGCTTCTCAGAGTCACTGTCAAGCCACTTGTGTATAGGGGTCATCCCTCAGGATGGAGTATTTTATAACTAAGGTCTCTATGATGAAAAATTTTATGTGAATTTTCTGGAGGTCCCAACTGTCACTTAGCACAAACCAAAATGCAGAGCTTCATTTTCCTAAGGAAAAGGAGGGTCTTTTTTGCTCTGGGAAATTTTGACTTTGCTTGGGAGCAGGGTGCGGGCAATTTACTAAATGTTTCGATGTAATAAGTAAAGTTTTGGGGTCACTTTTTTAATGAACATGTGTATGACTATCTACTATCATCTATCTATCATTATCATCATTGAACTATATCTATACATATTTCAAAAAACATAATGAAGTTATAGTCAGAGTTCTAAAGAAGTTTATTTTTGATGATCTTTTTTCTCATTTTTCAGATCTCTGATTGGAGTCACTTCCCGGTTGAGTATGAAAAGAATGCAGTGAAAATTCTGGCCAGCAGTGGAAATATTGGCTTATTCTCCAACTTAGTATAGTATTTCTTATCTTAAGTAGCACCTCGTAATAAAAGAAAAATGTATGGAAGTGCAAGAACAATCACCAATCTGGAAGGGAGCCCTTCCAGATCTCCTCGTTTGCCAAGATCTCCTCGTTTGGGCCATCGAAGAACAAGTAGTGGGGGAGGTGGGGGCACGGGCAAGACTCTGTCCATGGAGAATATTCAGTCTCTTAATGCAGCCTATGCTACATCTGGGCCCATGTATCTGAGTGATCATGAGGGAGTGGCTTCGACAACTTACCCAAAGGGCACCATGACTCTGGGGAGGGCCACAAATAGAGCTGTATATGGAGGCCGAGTCACAGCCATGGGGAGTAGTCCCAATATTGCTTCTGCTGGACTTTCCCACACAGATGTCCTTTCTTACACAGATCAACATGGTGGTCTGACCAGCTCATCCCATCATCACCACCATCAAGTCCCCTCCATGTTGAGGCAGGTTAGGGATAGCACAATGTTAGACCTTCAAGCCCAGCTCAAGGAACTTCAGAGAGAAAATGACCTCCTTCGGAAAGAGCTAGACATCAAGGACAGCAAACTGGGATCTTCCATGAATAGTATCAAAACCTTCTGGAGTCCTGAGCTCAAGAAGGAAAGAGTCTTGAGGAAAGAAGAGGCAGCTCGGATGTCTGTCCTCAAGGAGCAGATGAGGGTTTCCCATGAAGAAAATCAGGTAGGTTATGACTCATCTCAGTGTTTTTCAACTTTAGCTTCTCATTGAGTAGTTGATGCTTTGCAAATGGTACCATGACCTGTGCAGAAGAAAGTTTGATATCATCAAGAAAGCTACGACTTAGTATGTGTTTGACTTGGAGACTGTAAGAGGGCATAGGAAATATGAGATTACTGCTTATGATCGCTTTATTTTCTAATAACCTTTCACATTGCTGCAGAAGAGGGGGGATTACTCCTCACTGCCTAACTTTTACACTTAGTTAATTTTGTTTTCTTTTTCAGCAGTCACAGCAGCAGCTCAGATGTACTACCCTCTGAATAGAAGAGGAAAATGTTAATTTTTGCAAGAGTAGACATTTTAACAGCAGCATTTAGAGGGCCACATTTGACTGGTGAATTGATTTTTTTTTTAAAGTACCGGCAACATTATTTCATTCTAGAATGAGTGGAGTTTGTTCTCTAAATAGTAAGCTGAACAATATTAAATGGGATTGAGTAGAATGGGTTTGATATCATGTTAGGGAAACACAATAAATTTCTGCCTCATCTATTTAATATTAAGTACATACTATGTATGAGACACCTTCTTTCTCTTCTTTAACCCACCTTCCATATCATAGCAAGATTGGTTTTCCCAGTGTCTACCTGCAGGTATGCCATCCCCCCACTTTAAAGCCCTCAATAATTACCCATTCCATGCAGAATGAAGTCTGCTTCTTTGGCTGAGCCTTTTTAAATGGAAAGCCTGAACCAGTCTCTCCAGCATTATCTCGTACCACCTCTATCCACAGCTCCTGTGCTATCAGAACCACCACTTGGTAATTCCTGTTCATACTCAGGGTTTCCTACCTCTATGCTTTTGCTCTTTCCATTACCTTCTACTGGAGGACTTCTCAGCACCCCCTCTCCCTGCCTCTTTCCTTCCAGTCCCAGCCAGTCTCCGTTTTTCACATCCTACCTGTTCTGTGAGGCTCATTTATATGATGGTATTTTCATAAGGGCTTTTGAGTCAGAAATACCTGGGTTTAAATCCCAGCTTCACCTGTTACTGGTAGTGACAAGATAAGTACTAAGAGATGTGGAGCTGAGGGTGCTGTGCCCTTTGGCTAGAACAATTTCCAGATATCATTTAACTTTCTATAGAAATCTGTGATAATTTTAACTTGGCTAAACCAGTGATAATTGGCCTTTACGTTGGCCTGATGAAGTGCTCTGTCTTTCTTAGGGTCATCTGCTGACCCTCCTATCTGTTTCCCTGGCTACTATCCCTTTGGAGTCCAAGCACCAGTAGAAGCATTTCCGATCTGCATGAAAATTTGCTATTCGTTCTTCTTCTATGTGTGGAAAGAAATCACCTTTTCCCATTGTTTATCTGACAAAGCCTTTGCTAGTTTTTAGATGTGGAAATGTGATTTTCAGTTGGAACAAAAACCTTTTTTCTTTACTCCTAAATCAAATTAATGCTCTTCACTATAATTTCTGCTGTTTTCTGTCTTTGCTTGTTCATGAAATCCTGTGAACCTGCTACTGCTATGTGCATTTCCCAAGTTGGGTACTGGTTTTCTTCCTTTTTTAGTTGTTTTGGGAAATGGTTAAAGCAGTTTAGGGATGATGCAAGTAGTCACAAAGTTGAAAATATTCTCTAAACTGTCAGCAAGTGAATAGTTAACGGTGCTCCCATTACTCCTTTCTTGTTCTGGAACCTACTATGATCACAGGCAACCTTGGGTACTATAGGTGACATATGACTATGTAGCATATGACCCAGTGAAAGCCCCAGTATTAATATATATACTAAATATAAGTAAAATGTAATTAGTTTCTCTTTTGGTTAAATATATATAATAAAAGGAGGATGGAGAATGGAGAGTTTGAAAAGCGAATTTACTTATAAGGCGAGGTAGTACAGTAAAACCTTGCATTGTGAGTAACTTGGTTTGCGAGTGTTCCGCAAGATGAGCAAACATTTCTGTTAGGTTGGTGCAAATGTAATAGCTATTACTTTTGCACCTACCTAATAATGCATTTTAACTTGGTAAACAAGTGGTATCTTGCAATATGAGTAGTTTGTTTCTGGAATGAATTATGCTCACAAACCGAGGTATTCCTGTATTACAAAGTAAAGAATATGAAGATTGACAAAAAGCAAGTTATTTAAAAAAAAATTGAAGTGCTCCTCCTTTCCCCCTTGGATGCATATTAGGATCTCTTTTTGGGGTATATGAATACCTGTTGGTCAGGATGGGGGAGATCCTGCTGTAGTAATCAACAAACCTCGAATCTCTGGGGCTTATCATATCAGAGATTTATTTTGTATTCACCTGAAGTATGAAGCAGGTCACGTGACTCGAGGGTAGCTCTCCTCCAGGAAGTGACTCAGGATCCAGGCTTTCTGCATCTTTGCACATGGCTACAGCTGAGAAAGAGTGCCTGGAGATTGCACAGGCAATCTCCTCCTCAATTCCTTGAACTGAAAGTGACATACATAAGTGCAAGGGGCTAGGAGGTGTAGTCCTCTCCCCTTTTCAGGAAGGAGAGTGGAGTCAGATATGAGGGAGCACTAGAAGTTTCTACCATTCGGGTTTTTATGTTTGTCAAAAAGTGGAACTAGATGAAATAAAATTTGGGGAACAATTCAGATGTCTGCTGTTTCTATTATTACCGCTGTTGCTACCAGTAGACATCTGTTGCGGGCTTACTATGTAGTAGGCATTGATTGTGCTTAGAGCTTTCTGTACATTATCTTACTTAGTTTTTGAATCAATCATCTGAGGTAGGTGCTAGACTTTGTCTCATTTTACAGATGAAAAATAAATGTAGAGAGAATAAGCAGCTTGCCTAAGTTCATACAACTAGTAATCGACAGAGCTGGAATTTAAGGCTTTGGTCTATTTCACGCCAACATCTAAGACCTTAACTTTATGTTCACTACCTCCTTATAGGATCACTGAGTTGTGAATAGAATCTTAGTGTAATAGGAAGATCATACTTCATATATACTAGATGTAAAAAATGATTATGGGTGGTCCCCGACTTATGATGGTTCGACGTCTGATTTTTTGACTTTATGGCGGTGCAAAAGTGATATGCATTCAGTAGAAGCTGTACTTCACATTTTGATCTTTTCTTGGGCTAGTGATTTGAAGTATGATACTGTCTTCTGATGCTGACAGTGACAGCAAGCCACAGCTCCCAGTCAGGCCGTGATCACAAATGATACTCTACAGTGTATTTATTGTGTTAGATGATTTTGTCCATCTTTACTGACTAATATAAGTGTTCTGAACACATTTAAAGTAGGCTAGGCTAAGCTATGATGTTTGGTAGGTTAGGTGTATTAAATGCATTTTTGACATAATATTTTCAACTTATGATGGGTTTATCAGGATGTAACTCCATTGTAAGTTGAGGAGCATCTGTGTTTTGTACTTTGATAGAATGATTAAGAATGTGATTTAATTTATTTAGTATTTTTCTTCTTAATTAGGGATTTATTTCTTTTTCCTTTAAGTGGTTTTTGTGCTGTTTGTCGTTTTTTCCATTTACCATAACTTACTATAATTTCCCTTTAGAGGAAAAATCATGGAAACTATTCCTATATGGAAGAAAAGAATATAAAAGCTATAAGGGACACTTGATTGTGGTTTCTTATCCACAACAACCAGAGACTGCATCTACAAATGTAGTTCTATCAGAGGGTATATAGATAATTAGAATTTCACTAACCTAAATTCAGATGTGTGACTTAAAATGGGAATCAGGTCCATTATAGGGTGGAGGTGAGAAAGCTAGAGTGCTCATGTTTATGATATTCATGGTTCTGTGAATTTAATGCTCACAGGTAAAAGGAAGCACAGACTTTTCACCCTCACGTGTAATGTTGGAGAGAGCGCCCACTCTTCAATTCTTTTGCAGCAGATTTTGAAGTCTTAGTGGTTGTGTCTGAGGGAGCTGAACTCAACTCTAGATCTAAGACAGGATGTTAAATACCTCCCCTGTGTTACAGGAGGTGCAAGACTGGAGCCAGTGCTAGGTGGCCATTAAAGGTCCTGTGTAAGGTTTGATACTCAGATTCCTGGATGGATATTACACTCCGGACCCCCTTCCACCCCTAGGTTCTCTCCAAGGCCCTACTTCTCAGACACATACATCTGCACGAATAGAAGTACATTTATGACTGCTAAGAGTTATAGTACTGATATTGTCTTGTTTGTATAAACAAGAGTAAATGGATGCCGCGTTATCCTTATGCTTTGACTTGTGCTTTTTGCTTTATGATGTACTTTCTTGAATGGAAGAAGAGTGGGGTGGAGTATTGTGGACAGCAATTCTTTGGAATGGCATGAACACATAATTCATGCTCTCAGTGTTACACCAGTAGACTGATTTGGGGAGAGGTAAGGAGAAAAGATTTAGAATGAATTTTGGCTGCCACTTGAGGCAGGCCCCTTATTATTTTTAATGGCCTGTATGGAGTTGGGGTGAGTGTTGAGGGTGGGAGAATGCAACTACAGGGATGTAAAGTGACCCCATTTTCTCTAAAAGATTATGTGATTGTCTTTTCTTTATAGCTCCATTTTATTTTCCTGTGTAATGAAGATCCTAGAGAGAAAACATGGTAGAGAATACATTTTCAGAAAGTTCATAAGGATTTATATCTTGCAGCTTGGTGCATATAAGTTATTAACTTTTCATACTCCTGAATATTTTGTGCAACCATTAACTTTGTATTTTTAATGGATTATTTTTTTTGCAAATTAGGTGTATATGAAACAATTTTTAAACATTTTCCTAAGTTGTGCATGGCTAGCCAAGGATCTGCATGAATATAAATAGAATCACTCACTGGGAGATTGTACTAGATTTAATATTTACCCATCTTGTGTGTGTAGAAGTGGGACAAGGTCATTGGGAAACGTAACCTAAGAAGTGTAAGTAAACCTGTCTGGGGAATGCTACAGCTTTTAAGCAATGGTTATGTGATAATTTCTATTTCTG